TATATATATATATATATATATATATATATGTGCATGTGTGTATTCTTTCTCTCTTCACAGCAAGGCTTTGAATATTGGGTAGCAGGATTACTAAATTAGTTTTTTGGGTAGACAAATCAATGACATAGAACGGGGATGATTGGGTTGCCCGAGATTCACTTTATAGACTATTACTAAATATTTTTGCATTAACACTTCTTTGTATTTCCTTGATTTTTTTTTTTTTTTCTCTTTTTTTACTATGCTTTTTAACAGTTCCATTCTTTGTCTGAAGAAATTTAGAAGATAAAAGCCTCTCGTGTAATTTCTGACTTGTATTCATCACCACAGATATTGTTTAGTGGGCAATTCCTTAAGCCATTGATAAAAGTAATATTAACCGTTTCCCTACAAGGAAACATTTGGCATTCATTGAGCAGCCAGTGTTTGTGTGATATACCAGGACATTCAGAGTCCGTAAACTTGTCATTTTTTTTTTCTTTTATTTTTCTCCTAGTTACTTGGCTTTTTGGGGACCTGGTATCGGCTGGCTTCCTAACATACCATAACAACCTGGGATTTTTTAAATTTTTTTCTATTTTGAAAAAAATGTTTTTCTTTTTCTTTTTTTCTTTCTCTTTTTTTTGTTTTAGGCAAAATTTGCAGAAGTGATATTAGATTAGGCTACTGAAGCTGTAGTTAGGCTAAGTTTTCCTACTTCAGCATCGTTATCATCTGTCCAATGACTGGATGTGGTCATAGTCACTGCACAGCTGAAACCTCAGTTTCCCACCTCCATACATCTAAGTTGAAAGCTAGATAGGCAAATCTGTTGTGCTAGATGGCTGTTAAACCTACAAGAAGGTTAATCCACCCTATGAAGTTTTCTTTTTAATATCTAACCACCCTACTCACCAAAAAAAGCCTGGTGGAGGAACTGGTTGCTAATGACCTAACCATGTAGGTAGTTATGTTACCAGTAACACTTGTAAAGTGACATAATATAGCATAGTAGCATCTTTTGGCCTTTAGATTAAAGTATCATTTATGAGACTCTCTAATGATACCAGTTGAAAAGGCAATTTCTTGAATGAAAAATGGTATACGATTGTCTTAAAAATAGCCTTTTTAAAAAATATAATGTTAACATTCATTTAATTTTTTGTAAGTGTCACTGCTGTCATAAAGAACTGTGACTTGAAAACCTTTTCAAATCTCAAGATATTTAGACTGAATGTTAATTTTTGTCACTGGCTGTGTACAAATCTAGATTAGTCTGATGCAAGATCTTGAGGATTCATTTAGCAAGGACTAAACTTTCTAGCAAGTGAAAAATGAAATAATAATATGAAGGGGGTATTGAAAACTTTTCAGCTTGATCCAATTTTTTTTTTTTTTTTTTTTTTTTTTTAAAATTGGTATCACCCCATGCAAGGCAGTAAGGTCACTAAGACAAATGGGGGTTACAGGTTGTGGAAGAATTAGGAACAGAAACATTAATAATGAGCAGGAAGAGGAAAGAGTAATCGGGATGACATCAGATAGGGATTGACATTGCATTTAAATTTTTGCAGATAAAGTTGGCTGGGAAGTAGGGTGGGAGTTTCTCAAGCGTGAAGTGTGAGAAAAACTGTAAGCATAGAATTTATGGTTACATATAGCCAGCTCAACTGTAAATTGGTGAGATCTTGATGCCAGTCAAGGAGTTTGAGGTAAATAGTAGGGGTACTGGACCATATGTAGCATCAATATTCTAAGCATGGATAAATGGTAGACATAGATATGTAAGATAGATTCTGGAGAGAAAAATTGTCTCACACAACACAGTGAACCAACTGTCTTATCAGCTGACCTAGCAATGGATTCAATATAGTCTTTACTTTCATGTTAGCCTGAGAAGGTGCAACAAGTCACTTTTCTGGAGGTTAGCATCAGCCATGTTGATGGAAGGCAGAGAAGGGTCTCTCAGATGATTAATAGAGAAGTTTTGTTTGGGAGATGTTAAAATTATCAAGCCGTCTTTTGTTCCAGTTAACGAGGGACTTGGGGCCATTTTGGACATTGGCTACTATTTTGACCTTGTTGCACCGATCAGCCTTACTATCGAGGCAGGAGTAAATAGTCATCAGCAAAGATACCAAATTGAGAGCTGTTGTCATCAGGGAGGTCATTAATGAAAATTAAAAACAGGGTAGAATCAAGGATGGAGTACTGGAGAACACCCACTTTAGCATGAAAGGATCTAGATGAGTGGCCATTCAGGATAACCTTCATTTCATGATTTGATAGGAAAGACTGGATCAGTTCAAAAATGTGTCCATAGCTTTTCAGTTTGTGTGGGAGCCCTGTATGCAAAAACCCTGTCAAAGGCTTTCAAGATTTCCAATGTTACAGCTTAGGCTTCACGATTTTTATCTAGAGCATTTTAGACTCTTTCTGAAATTATTGTCAGTACATCAGCAGTCAACTTGGAGAAATGAAAGCCATATTGCTTGTCAGAAAAAAGGCCCTGTGATGAGAGATGATGAACCATCATTTCTTCTTCATGATCTTTTGATTTGTGTGAAAAGTGGCAAGTGAAAATATTTAAGCCAATATTTCTAGCTATTAAGGCTATTCTCAAATCTGGATTATGACCCTCCCCACAAGGTGGATGGATGGCATACTGTGTCAACTTTCTGGCAACTCCTGTAGCTGTACTCATATTTTTTTTTTTTTTGTTGGATTCTACTGTTAATGCCGAGATGGGGATATTGACATGGGGTTGCCCAAGATCTCCATAGCTTCTGATCAGGACCATAGTGTTCTGTGTTGCTATATCATCTTCTGAGGTGGACGGATGCCAGCTGAAAGAAGGCTTTTCACAAAAAATACTTTCTCATTTCTAATCTTTTATTTCTGAAGCTTATGACTATATTACGTTGAAACCCTGGCTCCAATATGATCAAGGTTAAGCAATGTAGAGCCTGGCCAGTACCTAGATGGGTGACGGCTTGAGAATACCATGTGCTGTAAGCTTGGATGTGCAGGTGATATAATGCATAATGGCTTGGAATTGTTAACTGGAGAGGCCATATCCAATTTCAGTTCGTTTCATTATATTTACTTGCATGCAAATAAAATTGAGAAAGGTATGAATCCTTTCCCCCCAACTATGGGTTAATCTGTAAAACTTGTATCACTAAATTATCTCAAAAGACAAAAAATTCTTCTGCATTGTAAACCCAGAAGAATTTTTTAAATGCCAGTGCCTGTAAAATCACCAGTTAAGCAATGTTGAGCATGGTTAGTACCTAGATGAATGACTACTTGGAAATACCAGGCGCTGTAAGCTTGGATGTGCAGATGGTGTAATCAATAATGGCTTGGAATTGTTAATTGGAGAGCCAAGTTCCAATTCCTTTTAGGTTCAATTATATTCAATTACATCCCAATGTCACTGGGAAAGATATGAATCCACCTCTTCTACCCCCAGCTATGGGTTAATTAGTAAGAATTCTATTATTGAAGCATTATTGCAAAAAAGATTCTTATAATGTAAAAATATTTTCTGGCTTTAAATATCTATAAACGGTTGATAAGCTGTAGAAAATGAATCGATCAAAAACATTTTTATTTTTTCAGCAAGTTTAATTTTCATTATTTTTTGGGGTTTGATGAATTTTTTTTTTTTATTGTTCCTTTCTCTTAACCAATATAAAAATTTTCATTTGTGTTTCATATTCTGAATTGGAAAGTGTTTAAAAATTGCTAATCACCTTGATTTTTCTGATTAAAGTGCTTGTCATGTTCAGTTTTCTTTCTCTGTAAATAAAGAAAGCTTATTGGCAACATGTCATTTCTAATTTTGCTTAAGTGATGCCAAGATTTGAAGCCAATATCTTCCTTTGCTTATTGATGTGTCAAATATTTGAATGTAGGAAAGAAAATGCATTTACATTAATCCTTATTTTTCATAAGTAGTTGCTTTCATCATCATGAACATTATAATCATCATCATTTTTACTATTCAACAAAACTGTGTTGCAAAATATTGCAGAAGTTATGTCTATCATTTGTTTATTATTATCTCTGAAATAATGTTTTAGAAAAAAAATAACATCTTAATATTTTGTACTCTTTTGTTTAGAATTGTTTCTAGATTTGACTCGAGAAGTATTTTTTTTTGTAAGTCTGTTAAGGTAAATATGGAAATAAATCCTATGAAGAAAATCTACCAAAATTTTTCAATATTTATGAAAAAATATGGATTTGCATTTATATTAATAAAATGCCTTTTTTTTTTTTTTTATACCTCCCCCTCATTTCTAAAATGTTAACCCATGAATTGTAGTATGTTTCCATATATTTTCAAGATACTTGTATGGTCATTATTGTTGATGCATTCAAGCCGATGTCTTCACTGTCAGTATTTCATTTACTTTATTTTGGTGATATGCTTTCTAGCAATGCTAAAATTTGGGGTAAAATATATTAACCAAAATATTCTATTACAAATAATCTGACATCACTTGATATCATACTAAACATATTTTCAGATCATTGAATCTGTTTTGTTCAGGCTTAGAAAATGCAAGTTTTTTTGTTTTTTTTATAGCCTTTATGTTAACCCATATTCTATCTTCAGTTTAAATGGAAAACCTGTTTTTCTATGTATTTTGGCAATTTTTCTACTAGTGGAACATATTTTAAGAAGTATTTTTTGATAGCAGGGTGGGGGGGGGTCTTAGTTTTTATTAGTTTACCAATAATATACATGGAAAAGACTAAAATACAATATCTGCTTACATAGTGTTTTTAAATCTAATTAATTCTTGTCTGGTATCAAAAAAAATTTTTAAAATATATTCCACTGGTGGAAAAATGTACAGATACTAAAGTTCATATTTTCTTGTTTTCAGATAAAAACTTGGAAATTTTACACTTCAATTTTCATTCAGAATCTAAATTTTATTCCCCCACTTGCCTAACATTCTTTCAATTTTTTTTTTTAATTTTAATTTTGTTTTTTTGTTTTGCAGGTTTCTCAAACTGTCAGTGAAGATGATGCATTGATCAATCGCAAACTTCCAAAAGAACTTCTCTTAAGGTAAATTGGGTATTTCTAACTGAATATTTGTGGGATGAGGGAATAATGTCTCTTAACTTTGTGGTGGAAGTGACTAAAAAGAAGTCTTATAAACACTGATAGTGTTTGCTGTAACAAACAGGATGTATATTTCAGCAACATCACACACACATACATATATATATATATATATATATATATATATATATATATATATGATTTTTGGCTGAAAAAAAAAATTTGTTTGTCCAGAGTTTGGGAAGTGGGTTAGTTTGAGAACTTCTCAGCAAAGTGCTGAGAAATTCCCAAGCTAACCCACACTCAAATTTTTCACAGATGCCAATTTTATGTCATTTAACAAAATATTTTAGATCAGTTGGATAAATTTTTATCAAGTAAACTAATTTTATTCCTTTTTTTTTTTTTCCCCATAAACAATGATTGGCTTCTTCTATTGCTCCAAGAAGAACCTGACTCCTCCTGCCATGCTTTATCTTTAAGTGAGTCAGATTAGACCAAAACCTGGAGTATTGATGGCTTATCTGTGCTTCCAGCCTTGATAAAGTTCAAAACAGTTAACCCGTCCTTGTGAGGAAAGACTTATTTTTCACTCTACAGCCTCTTTCCCACCAACAAAACATTGCAAGCATATCACTACTCTGTCATCATTTCTCTGGCAAATGTTCAGTTGTGTTCCATTCTTTAGCTCCACCAGTTCAGGCCTTCACAGCAGAAAAACTCACCATGCTACCTCTCTGAAGTTGAATTACCATTATTTCCTTTGTATTCCAATTGCAAGAAGAAAGTTGTGCTTAGAAAACTTTCCCCGGGACAATTTTAACCTCTTCAAGTTAGTGTCAGTCATTATCCACCATATCCTCATTCTCTTCACTTCCTACCATCTCCTCTTACATTCATATCACATATCTCATTCAGTAACCCACTATCTTGAGTGGCTCTTGAGCCTTGTATTGGGTGAAAAAAGTGTGCAAAACAAAAATGGATATTTGGAACTTATCCTTTGCTAAACTTCAAGTTTATTATATTCTTGTTCATCATGGTTGTTACACTCTTGATATTTTGTCTGTTGTAACCCTAACCCTCTTCAGATATCTTTGTACTGGGTTGCCTTTTTTACGGGAGGTGGAGGGGATTTTGAAGAAATAAGAAAATTGTTAGAAATAAAGAAAAGAGTACTAAACTGTTACGTAATATTGGTCCTCTTATATGGCAGTGAATGCTGGACAATCTGCTGACAGATAAAGGAGAGACTTGAAGCAACAGAAAAGTTCTTCTACAAAAGGGTGTCAAGAATATCATGGACTGAACATGTGAACAACAAAGTTTTAGAGAAAATGGCAATAAAAAGGATGCTTATACTTAACACCAGGAGGAGATGAAATTTCTAGAGTACATAATGAAGAAAGAGGTCTAAGAAAACTTGATACTTACAGGGCAGATTGAAGGCAAGAAGGGCATGAGTGAGTTTGAGTAAATGGATGGCAGAACAAGATTTGGGAGATAAAAAAAACAGAATTTATTAAGAGCTACAAAGGCAAGGAAGTTGTGGAGAGCTATGCTCACCAACATTCTGAAAAGATATGGCACATAGAAGAACTGAATGCTTTATTTAATCCATATGAGTATGTTCCTATTTTATTTTCTATGCTTATGGAATATTGAATATATCAGTTAATTCTCACCAGTTCTTGTCTGTTTCTTCCACTGAACCAGAATGTTACTTCTCCACTTAGGGATTGAACCAACAACTATTGGTGAACTGTTTATTAACTTGATCATTATTTATCAACTTCTTCAAATCTTTAAATGCAGTCACAAATATCTATGTAGAAGAACATGATTTCTTAATGTTTATATATATTTACTGAATCTATAATTATTTCAAGAAAACTTCTGTTCCAATGTTTACATTCGGGAGTTGGATAGGCCGGCACTTTAGTAGCTTTGTAAACAACTTTTTGTCGATAAGCAAATCTTAAATAAATATCTTTACTTTGTTGTTAGTAGGTCACTTCACCTTTTTAAACCAGGCCACTGTCTGTACAGGAATGGGAAATTTGTGTTTGTAATATATGTATATTAATGAGAAAGTGGGAAATTTTTTCATTTGATACATTTTATCCTTTAGATTGATGTAATTATACATCAAACGCATCTCTCTCTACCTCTCTCACACACACAATGAGAGAAAATATGGATTTTTTTTTTTTTTTACTATTGTTCCTTCGTCTTTGTGCACATGTTTAGTTATATCAATATAAATATCACTTTAGTCTGATGAAACTGAAATGACAAAATTCTTTGCTACTTTGTCCATATATATATATATATATATATAATCATGAAAGGGATTAAGTCCATCAATTATTTAATATATTTTCTATTCATTTTTATTCTAGTTATTTTTATAGATATAATTTAAGTAAATGCTCTCTTAATTGCATTTACTTGCCTGAATATTTAACAAATTTCATAGAAAATATGCACTCTTCAGCAGGAATTGAACCTTTAACCATATATATATATATATATATATATATATATATATATATATATTATTTTTTATAGATATAATTTAAGTAAATTCTCTGTTTTTTAATTAAACAGTATTAATTACATTTACTAGCCTGAATGTTTGAGAAATTTTGTAGAAAATATGCACAACCTAACAGATGTAACTAATACTGCTTAATTAAAAAAATGGAGCATTTACTTAAATTATATCTATAAAATAATGTATAAACAGAAATTATATATATATATATATATATATATATATATATATATGGGAAGTGTGCTCAATATCACCACTGAAGAATTTGTAAATATAAACAGTGTAAGAATTGAAATATACACTGTGTGACATTGCCAGTCATCCTGCAGTTTTGATTGCTATGCCTACACTAATAATTGTATGCAGAGGTCATATCTTTGTGAGTTGGGTATTAATGACTCGCCTAGTATCTTACCAACAGACTACTTGAATGATATTCAGCACAACCAGTCTCCACTTGTCTTGACTGGTTCTTGTTATTGGATGCAGAGAGCCTACATACATATTGTGTGTGACTATATTGCACAGATACTATCAGGTTTCCTGAAGTTCGACATGAAGACCATTTCATCTGGCCATAACATCTTGGTGGCCATCCTCATACAAGGAGTGGGCTGTCATTTTCTTTTTTCTTTTTTTTTTTTTTTGAGATATGTAAGTATAAAAACTAAACGGCTAAAATTTAGGCTACTGTCTAATGTGTAGTTCCTTCCTTTACCTGAATAGCAGTAGCTGTGATGTGTCATGAAGTCTACAAAGTATTGAGATCATAGCATGGATATTCCATAAGTGAGTTGTCATTGTTGGATGTGGATGCATCAAATTTAATAATCTTTGCAACATGTCCTATACATGCACAATAGTGTTTAAATCGAGTAAGCACAAGGACCACCTCTGAAGACATTACATCTTCTTTTTCTTGCAAACATCCAATAAGTAAGCTTGCACAATACCTTGCTGATAGGCTGAATCTATAGCCTCATTCTTATCGACCAACTATCTGAAAAAACTGTCAAATGGTGATATTTTCTAGTCCAATTGAGGCACAGTAACTAATGTTACCATGTCAATAATACAGTTTTTAATTGGGTAAATTTGGGACCAGGCCACTATTGGGCCACAGAAAATGCTGAATGACAGAAATCCCTCCTAAAAAAAACTATATGTAAACATAGTGTTGCCAGCTCATTCCATATATATATATATATATATATATATAGCTGTGTTATCAAAAGTAGGACAAACCTTAAAACAGGAAATAAAACAATCATTAATGCTTCTAAACAGGGTTTTTATTGTTTCATGCAATACAAAGGCAAAATAAGCCTAAAACGAAAGAATAATATACACTTATTGTCATGAATGGATAAATATGCAGTTATATATAAGAAATGAGCAATACCATAACACCAAAACACTCTGCTGCTGTTGGCTTCTGTGGAAAGTTGTAAACATGTAGTGCTGCTCTTAAGCCACTCAATGAACTAATGGTGATTGATTTTGATTAAAAAAAGAAAAAGGGCTCTGGACCATAGCAGATTCTGGATTGTGGAGTTCTTGAATAATGATCTTGTACTGTATTACCATTATTAATTGATGAAAAGCACCAGTAAGAGATATATGTAATGTTCCCTCCAAACTTGTCAGTTGCAATATGAACCATGTGGTGATATATTTTTTCACCTCCTTACCACTCTGGAGTAGAATGGCATATTCTGTACTGTTAAAAAGTAGTTTTTGTGTTTGGTAAATAAAAGCCAACAAATTATTTTGGTTGAATAAAGTCTTGACTAAGAGCCTCGCTTTATTTTTCACTTCAGTTTATTCAACTGGAGACTCACCAACCTCATGATGTTGAGTTGCAAGGTGGTTACTAATAAAAAACTTGTTAGTGTTTGATGTACTGTGACTTCAGTAAACTAATAGTGTTCGCATATGTACTAAATTCTGAAATAGTTTCACACCAAGTCTATTAGATTAAGTTCACCAACAGTCCCAGATTCTCCAGAGGAAGGACTTCAGAAAATGTCACGAATGTCCGAAACCTGAGATTAAATTTGGAGCCTTGCTCCTTCAATGCCTGCTCAAGAATGGACATTAATGTAAAGGACAAAGTTGTTACAGGTCTGGTTATTTTCTCCTCCCTCTAGCACATAACTAAGGATACTGAGCCTTAGCTACATATAGATAAAATGGGAGAAGCTTGAGATGCTGTCGGAGATTATCTAGCTTTATCATTTGCAGTTATCATGAATGATATTTTGTGCTCCATGAAATTCATTTTTTCTTTCAAATCCACGTTGATACCAAAATGACAAAGAGACTACAGTATCTACTAGACATTTAGCCCTGGTTTAGACTGCTATTAATGAGGAACCCCAAGAGATAAATGTAGATGAAGTGGGAGAAACCCAAGAGATATTTGTAAATGCCTCTGGAGATTATT